CGTGAGCCAGGTGAGCCGCCGCAGGGCCCGCTCGGGTTCTGGTTCTGTTACTGGTGGACCTGCTGGTGGTTCTGACTCACCTCCAGGCTCTCCAGAGAAGTGGACCTCCTGAGCTTGGCTCTGCGGACGGCGGGTGGAGAAGAGTCTGCGGCGTTGCTTCCGGATGGGGTGGACTCCCCGGAGTTGGCGGTGAGACCAGAACCGGGCCGGGGTTCTGGGCGGGAGCGCCGGCCGTAGCGTTTGGTTCCTTTGACCAGCTTAGGCTGCACCTCCTGGGGGAGCGCTGGAGGACATAGAACAATAGGAACCAGGCCCAACAGAACCAGAACCTGAGCGGGCCCTGCGGCGCCTCACCTGGCTCCAGGTAGCTGCTGTCCTCCTCAGAGGTGCTGATGTCCAGGGAGCGGGACAGAACGTCCACAAAGCCGTCCTTAAACTCCTCAAAGTTCACCTGTTGGACAGAGACACACGGACCAATCAGAACCGGGCCGGTTCTGGTCACATGGAGGCGGTCCCTCGGTGGCGGTTACCCTGCCGTAGGGACGCTCTCCCAGCAGCGCGTCCAGCAGCAGCTCCAGATGTGCGTCCAGCTGCAGCCTCCTGAACAGCTCCGTCAGCTCGTCCCGGTCCAGGAAGCCCGTCGCCGTGGTGTCGCAGCGGTCGAACTCGGCTCTCAGCTGGGCCACATAGCGACTGTGCTCCGCCTCGTCCATCGGGACGCATCCCGCCGTGACCTCACACCTGATGGAGACGGAGCAGGTCCATCAGAACCGTCAGAACCCAGGAGCTGACCCAGACTGGTTCTACAACCCTAGCTAGCACGTTAGCGTCCGTAAAACCAGGACGAAGCCATTACTCAGATTATTTCAGGAGACGTCTCAATAAATCTGATATTTAAACAGCTTTAGACCAAATCTCAGTAAAATCAGCTTAGATTTTATCAAAAGAATCAAAGACTTCGTCCTGTTTTATCCTGGAGGTCATAGTTTTAGCCCCAAAATGCTTTTAATTCAGATTTAATCCCATTTCAATCAGCAGGAATCTAACCTGGACTAAAAAGACAAACTGTGAAGCCATCAGCGAGATTTACCTCTGACAGGTGGAAATGAAGAAAGCTGAACCAAAATGGCCGCTCCGATCGATCGAACCCGCTTTACGTCAACCAGGCAACAGATGGGTTAGATTTTCCCCTCCTGATGACGGCTCGTTTTAATCCGCTGCAGCTGCAAAGATGAAAGGAATCAAGTTAAAGTGATAAAGAGTTTATGAAGCTGCTGGTTGGTTGGTTCTGTTACTGAGCTGAGAACCAGCTGGTTTAGGAAATAAATCCTTCTCTACAAAACCAGGTCTGGGTTAGTCCTCCAGGTCCCGGTTTTGGCCTGCCTGATCCCCCCCCATCAGGTCCCATCAGGTCCCATCAGGACCACAGACAGCGGTAGGACAGTAAAACCAGCAGCTAAAAACAAAAAAAACGGCGCCCGCGGGGGGG